CACAACCAAACATCCTTCTGCAGAAAATCTTCATAAATGTTGTACTTAACCATTGTGACCAACAGCAAACACTTTATCTTCTCCAGGGAAAAGAACTTTTCTATTTTTTCCACTTATCACCATTCCACTGGTCCACACTGTTCTTTGTACTATGCTCACTAATTTGTTTTTAATCAATTACTAACCAAATCAGACGGGGAAAATTGGAGTTTTGTTTTGCAGCATGAAGAAAATGCTGGATTTAATATCTCTTTATGGTAAAAAAAAAAATGTGTTTGCTGTTTTAAAGTGCTAGGTTCTATCACAAAATTTTAGTGCTGTTTTATTAATAAATTGAAAATTCTGCCTGCAAAATTTAATTATTAAATCTAATTAATTTAATTAATTAAATAAATTTAATTCTGCCTGCAAATTTGCCAGGATGAGGGAGGGTATTCACCTAATGCCAGTTAAGCCTTATTTAATATTTAGGCTAGATGAATAAATGCTGAAATCTTTGAAATTATTGAAAGCCCAGCTGTTTGTGTGAAGCCACAGGTTGGATGAGCAGAGGCAGCTCAGCTGGGCAGAGCCTTTCCAGCCTTTTCCAGCTGGGCAGGCAGGGCAGCAGAAGTCAGAACTTTACAAGCTATTCCTGGTCCTGAGGCAGCAGGAAAATGGAGCCTCCTGCAAAACGAATGAGCTGAAGCACAGCTTTTGTTCCTATCCCTGAGTCCTCCAGAAACCTTAATTACAGAGGGACAGAGCTTCAGGATCAATTATCCAGACTCCAGTTCCCAGAGACAAAACTCCCCTTTTTAAATCAATTTGGTGCTGCTTTTGTAGGGGCCAAGGGCAGCTTGGGCTGAGGAGCTCCCTGCAGGGCTCAGGGCAGGGAGAGCAGTGCCTGGGCTTGGGGCACAATTCAGCTCCTCAGGGGCCCCCTCAGACTGGCACATTCTACACCTTTGGGTGTCATTCTGTGAAAAGATAATATAATATAATATAATATAATATAATATAATATAATATAATATAATATAATATAATATAATATAATATAATATAATATAATTCTCTTATATGGCTCTACACAGATATTTACTCTATGTATTACGTTGTATTGATTAGTAGTGCTGTATTCACGTTTTAATAGTATGGTAAATGTAGTTTTGTAGTTAAAATGTAACTTCTGTAGTTAAAATAATTTAACTCTGACTTTCCAAAAGTTGTTCTGCAAGGTGTGCAGCTGTGGCCATGTATTTCAAAAAGTCATTGAGGCAATCTTTCCTTTTTGGGGTTGGTTTTGCAGTCACCTTTGTGAAGAATGTTTTGGGGCTTTATTAAAGGAGACAGTTGTCACTGTCATATTTTCTGAGAAATACCTTTGCTAGATTTCTTCTCCTGGGAAGCTGAGAAGCCTCAGAAAAGAATGAAAACAATAATTATATTATTGCTCCTCCCTGTTTTGCTGCTTTGGAATGTGGTCTGGACATTGTTTACCAACAGGTGCATGTTTGATTGGTTCCATGGGAATTGTTTTTATTTAATGACCAATCACCTTCAGCTGTGTCAGACTCTGAGGAGTCAGTCACAGGTTTTTATTATCATTCTTGTTAAGTCTTCTGTCTGTATTCTTTCTGTACTCTTTAGTATAGTTGTAATGTAATATAATGTAATATAATGTAATATAATGTAATATTAATATAATGTAATGTAATATAATGTAATATAATGTAATGTAATATAATGTAATATAATGTAATGTAATATAATGTAATGTAATGTAATATAATGTAATGTAATGTAATGTAATTAATGTAATATAATGTAATGTAATGTAATGTAATATAGTGTAATATAATGTAATGTAATGTAATATAGTGTAATATAATGTAATGTAATGTAATATAATGTAATGTAATATAGTGTAATATAATGTAATGTAATATAGTGTAATGTAATGTAATGTAATATAGTGTAATGTAATGTAATGTAATATAGTGTAATATAATATAATATAATATAATATAATATAATATAATATAATATAATATAATATAATATAATATAATATAATATAATATAATATAATATAATATAATATCAGCCTTCTGAGAGCATGGAGTCAGATTCTCATCTCTCACCTCGTCCTGGGGCCCCTCACAAACCCCACAGACACTGAGTGGTTTTGTGGCACTGCCCACAAGCAGCCCTGGTGCTTTCCTGCACCCCTGCACGTGGCTGGGTGTGAGGAGAGCAGGGTGCTCACCCCAGGCAACAACTCCAAATCCTTGCAGGACAGCTCTGACCAAATCAACCACTTGAATATTTGCTCCTTCCCTCTTTGCCTTCCCAGATCAAGTCCTGGTTAAAGTTTGGAAGAGCTGGATAAGTCATTTTTCAGCTATTTGGCCAAAACACAACTGTGGATGAGGGGAAACCGCTCTGAGCTGGGGAGACACTGAAAATGGGGGTGCTGCAGGAAAGCTCCCTCACCTGGGATGGCCAGACATGAACTCAGATACTCTTTAAAACACTGAGGGGGCAGCAGAGGAAGAGGAAGGACAGGCTGAAACTGAGCAGATCTCAGTCAGGATCAAGGGGAAGAGCCTGGAAGTTCAGTAAAAACCTGGAGAAAGCGAGCTGCTGTGTGAATTCATGTTACCACTAAAGACAGGCTAATACTTGATTCAGATTGAGCAAACTTAAGCTAAAGCATCAGGGAAGGTGGGATAATAGGTTTGGTTTAGAAAGAATCCAGATCAAAGTTTCACTGGCACAGAGAGGACAAAAAAGAACACTTTTCCCTCAAATCACTTCTTTAAAAGAGCTGACCTACAGTTAAGAATATTCAGGGCAAGAGATGAGTGTACTAGAAAGATGCTCCCCAAGGTCACAAGCATGGGACCTTATTGAAGATAGAGGGTATTATTTTTTTTATTTGTTGTTTTTGTTTATGTTATTTTTATATAATATTATTGTATTTTTTTTGGTTTTAAGTTATTGGGGTTTTTTAATGTAGTTTTTGTGTTATAGGAAAAAAATGGTTTTGTCTATGGTTATGTAAGAAAAGTTTTGTTAAAGGTTATTGTATTTTTTTTATTTAGGAATTTTAAAAATATTTTTATTTGTTTAGATTTTTATTTTATTTCTTTATTTTCTTCTACTTTAGGTTTGGTTTTTGTTGAAATTAAGGAGGATTAGTGTTTTGTAAAGTTTTTATTGTTTTAGAAAAGGGTTAGAATATTGGGATTTGTTTGTTTAGAATTTTTATGATTGTTGGGTATTTTTTTACTGTATTTTTTTTTGGTTGGCTGTGTTGTTAGTACATGATGTTAAATCTTAAGGTGGTAGAAGTACAGGTATACTTATGTATAAGTAAATACTTAATATAAGTATACACTTTCACAAGCATGGGAAGAACCTGAATAACTGAGCCTCGAGTGCCAGGACACAGGAGAAGAGCTTCAAACTGACAGGGAGAAGGTTTAGATGGGAAATGAGGAAAAAATCCTGAGAGGAACAGTGGATTTGTCTTTCCAAACCAGCTGTGGGTCTGCTGGTAGATAAAACCAGCACTGGGACATAAAGGAAACAATGGGAAGGATTCTACTGATTGATGAATGGAAGAAGATATTTGCTTTTACAAATAAACTTTAGGTTTGCTGATAAATGAGATTGGACATTGAAAGATGAAAGAAACAATGGAGAAAACCCCTAAATTCCATAAGAATGAAAAATGAAAAGGGAGGGTTGTACATTAGAGGGAGATCTTTGGGATCAGGTGTTTTGGGAAGTCTGAACCTCTCAAGTACCTCAGCCAATGGGGACAGAGAGAAGGGAAATGTGGCTGGAAAATTGGGATAAAAAGGAGGCTGTGTGCTCCAAAAACTGGAAAGATTGAGGGGAATGCCCCATGGCCTCTGCCTTGATTGGAATAAAGCCAAAGGACTCCTCTGTCTCCTTTCTGGACATAAACCTCTGGTGTTTGTAAATTGATTTTCCTGACACCTGCGAGGGTGGTGGGGCCCTGGCAGAGCAGCTGTGGCTGCCCCATCCCTGGAAGGGTTCCAGCCTTGGTTGGGTGGGTTTGGAGCACCCTGGGATTGTGGAAATTGTCCCCTCTGTGCCCTCCCAAAGCTCCCTGCTCCCAGCAATCTGCCTTTGGGAGCAGCTGGTGCTGCTCAGTGCAGGAGGTGATGCCCTGGTGCTTGTTGGGAGCCATGAAGTGTGAGATGATCTCCTGCTAAAGCTGGATTAGGAGAGGCTTTGGGGTCTGGGGGGACATGTGGAGCAAGAGTCTGGATTCCCTAGACATGGCAGTCTTAACACTTTTATTTTTCCCCCTGTGCCTTTCTAAAAATGACTGGCTCAAATACCAGGATGATATAGATAGATATATATATATATTGCATTTTGGGGGGTTCTAAAGGCACTTCAATTTATTTCTCATATTGGAAGCAGTGCTTTTTTAATTAAAAGAGCCCAAATGGAGATGCTGAAGTGTTTCAAACACAGAGCATCACAACTAAATACTTCCAGGAAGGGGCTGATGATCACAATTGCATAAAATGGGGATTTAACTCTTTTGTAGCAGCTGCATAACTGATCAGTAAAATGAGAGGAAAAGCAGTTTTCCTAAGGAGCTGGCACAGAATATTTAGCTGCTGAAAGGGCTTATTGTGGAAAATATATTTACCAGAGAGAAAATGATGTTTGGAAGAGAACCAGCTCTGGGCTGAATGGATTTGAAAAGCCTCTTTCACTGCCTATGCAAGTTTAGTCTATAAATCAAAATTATTAGGGCTTAATATTTAAATTGTATTTTAAATGTTAAAATTTTAGATTTTATTTCTTAAGTGGGAGGAGGACCTGCTGCTAAAAGAAGCCAGCATGAATTTCAGGGGCTCATTTGTTGAAAGCATGCAGTGACAGCCTGAGCAAAGTGCAGGCACAGAGAGTGGGAGCAGAAACCCTCCTGCCCTCCCAGGCACACTCTGAAATGCATGGAGATTTACCTTTCTGCAGCTTGGATGCATTGTCCTGGATCCAGCTGAAGAGGTTGGCAAAGTCACAGTCGCACACCCAGGGGTTGCCCTCCAAGCGGATGGTCCTCAGCGAGGGCAGAGCTTCCAGGGCTGCCACGTTCAGGCTCTGCAAGTTATTGTCATTCAATTCTAACACTTGGAGCTGGTCCAGGTTCTCAAAAGCAGCCTCGTCCACATCCACCAGGTTGTTGTTTCCAAGGCTCAGTTTTATCAGTTTCTCTGCTGATCTGAATATCCCAGCATCGAGCTGTGTTAAATTATTGTAGCTCAAGTCTAAATACACCAGTTTGGTAGAACTGCTAAAAGTGCCCTCTTCTAAAGAGGTGAGGGAGTTATTCCTGAAGTCCAAATAGACCAGATCTCCATAAAATATAAAGAAATCAGCTGGTATTGCCTGAATGTTGTTATCAGCTATCAGAAGTTTCCGTACATCCAACGGGAAGGGATTGGGAACACTCGGGAGCCCTTGATCCCGGCAGTCTATGGTGTGGTAGTCCATACAGCTACAAACAGCAGGGCAGAGATGAGCCCCAGGCAGGAAAAGCAGGCAGGCAAAGGCAGCAAAAGGCAGGAGGCAGGAAGGGAAGCATGGCAACATCGTCAAGGATCTGGAGGCTGTGATGAGCACCACTTCAGGAGAAAGACATTTTGCTGGGCTGTGCTGAGTGCCTGGTACTTGTGTGTGTGTCTGATTGTATCCAGGAGATCACATATCATCACAGATCCGATAGCAGCAGCCTGGAGGGGGAGGGAGGAGGGAGGGAGGGAGGCAAATGTGAGGATTTACACTGCCAGGATATTGTGATGCTGCACAGGGTGAGGAGAGCGATGATTGGGCACAGGGAGGATCTTTCAAAGGACTCCCTTGCTTTTGTGAGCTAAAAAAAGCCCAGAGCCTGTTTGAATATCTGCTGTCTATTCCAGCAAAGTGGAAATCACACCTGATCCTGTGACTCTGACAGCAACAGCTTCTGCTTAAAAAGCCCCTCAGGTACAAATCCCTGATGAGAGAGGAGATCACTCACTGTGCTTCTCAGCAGGAGCCTCCATCGAGGTGAGCAACAGCCATGGAAATGCAAGGCAGGGTCAGACAGCATCCTGGATGTCTGCTGAGGTCACTTACTGTAGAAAATATATTTACCAGAGAGAAAATGAAGTCTGGAAGAAAGTGAGGACAGGTTTCCCTTTGATTTGTAAAACAGGGAGCAGAAGGGGGCAGCCCAAAGACAAGGAGCTCTGCTTTGTGCTGTTTCTGGATTCCTCAGCTGTTAGAGCAATCCACATTATCTAAATGTGACTCAATATCTTTTAACCAAGAATAACCTACAGCAGCAACAAGGTCTCCAAAGTGAGGGGCTTTTCCTTCCTGTTTTAATGACCCAAAAATCTACTTTCCACTACAGCACCAGTAATGTCTGTTGGGTCACATGAAAGTGCAAAATCTTTAGCTGTTTAAAATTGAATGGGTTTTCTTCATTTTCAGGGGGTTGAAATATTTGACAGTCAATCTGTCAGTCCTGTGGGACAGCAGAAATGATTTTGCAACAAGGCATCTCTGTTTCCCTGACATCCTCAAACCCACACCCACAGAGGCAAGTCCTCAGCCAGCTGCACACTCAACTTTTAACTCCATCCCTCCCTCTCCATGCAGGGTGTGCAAGCAGAGAGCCTGGGGTCACACCTGTGTGCTGTGATGGAAGGTTTTTCTAGAGGCAGATGGTATTTGGGTATCCTGAAGAGGAGAGCTCAAAGTCAAACACCTTTGGCAAGCTCATTCTCAGGTCAAAGAGAGGCCAGAAATTTCAGTTTAAGGTCATATTTTACAACTGGATTCTGAGTATTTTTCATCCAGAAAGGGGGTAAAAATTTCCTTCTCAGACAGCCTTTCCTGCAAGATCCCTGTGCCTGAGCCCAAACAGTGAAAGCAGCATCCCTCACCTCTCCTTTGGTGTGTACCTGAAACACTGAACAGGGAACAAAGAGGGAGCCACGCTGTTCTCAGCAGCACCACTGACAGAAAAAGATGAAATGGGCACAGATTGGAAACCATCTGAACACAAGGAAACACTTCTCTGACTGTGAGGGTGGCCAGGCTTCCCACACAGGTTGAATTCCACCACAAAACCCAGCTGGGCACAGCCCTGGGCAAACTTGCTCTGACTCTGCTTGAGCAGAGGGCACTGGCAAATTGATTCCCAGGGGTCCCTTCCAGCCCCAGCATTTCCCTGCAGTGCCCTTGGGAAATGAACATGTCAAGGTTGCTGCCTTTGAGTACCTCTCTCACATTTTGCAACACACCTTGTTTCTAATTCATGGGTTTTTTAAGATCCTTCCCATAAAGACACATCTGCTCCAGGTGCCTTTCATGTCTTAAATCACTTTGAAAACACCACCCAGAAAGAAATGGGCACAGCTGCCCCTATAAACCACCAGGGTAATACCCAAAAAAATTTCCTGAGGTGGTTATTTAAAGTATTTACCTTTAAATTACAGAGGAAGTGGCAGTTTGACAGGCTACCTCCAATTAAAAAAACCCAAATGTGCAAAATAACTCTTGGGAGGGTCAGGATTCATTGAATTGGCATCACCAAGTAACTGCAACTGGTATTTCTCATGCAGAACTGATGCTTTTTATATTGCAAACAATTGCTCCTGCTGCAATCTATTGGTTTTCTGCCCCTAATTTAAGAGGGCTCTGGGTCAGAGTTAAAGATGTTTCTAACACAGGAAAGCAGAACTGCTTTGATGTCTTTAGCAATGTAGTTTTTTATGGATAGATTCAGCTCTCTATTAATATCAGGTATTGATTCACAGGATTTCAGGGGCTCCTCCTCTGCAGACCCCCCCTTTTTCTACCAAGTGCACAGAATCAGGATGTGACATTTTCATTTCCAAGATGCCTCAGCCTTCACAGATGGGAGACTACAGACAATAAGGCAGAATTTGTGAAAGTTCCAAGAACATGCCTTGTGGCAGGGGTGGAAAAGGACTCTCAGCTTCCCTAAGAATTCCACCAGCCCTTGCTAAAACTACCCCTCCTTTCTGTAGAGAGCAGCCCTTCCTTTGGCTCAGCTGCTCACCTGCATCCCTCACTGGCACCCCTGCATCCAAGTGTGGTGATTGCTGTCCCCAGGATGAGGGAAGACATGAATTTGACTCCATGTTCTTAGAAGGCTGATATATTATATTATATTATATTATATTATATTATATTATATTATATTATATTATATTATATTATATTATATTATATTATATTATATTATATTATATTATATTATATTATATTATATTATATTATATTATATTATATTATATTACATTATATTATATTGCATTATATTATATTGCATTATATTGCAATACATTATATTATATTGCATTACATTTCATTATATTATATTGCATTACATTATATTACATTGCATTACATTATATTACATTACATTATTATCATATTATATTATTATCATATTATATCATATTATATCATATCATACTATATTATACCATACCATATTATACCATACCATATTATACCATACCATATTATACCATACCATATTATACCATACCATATTATACCATACCATATTATCTATACTAAAACTATACTAAAAGAATAGAAAGGATTACATCAGAAGGCTTAACAAGAATGATAAGGAAAGCTCCTGACTGACTCCTCAGAGTCTGACACAGCTGATGGTGATTGGTCATTAAATTAAACAATTCACATGGAACCAATCAAACAATCACCACATTCTAAAGCAGCAGATAATTATTTTTATATTTCTTTTCTGAGGCTTCTCATGAGAAGAAATCCTGGTGAAGGGATTTTTCATAAGGTATCATGGTACCATCCAAGCCCCCCCTGCCAGTGTGTTCTGCACAGAGCCTGGGGAGTTCTCCTGGCTGAGGTCTCTGGGGAGGGCTTGGCAGGAGATGAGGGGTTAGGATCAGGTTCTGGATGTTTTGGGATAGGTGTCCCCCAGGTTTGGGAAGCATCAGCCCTGCTCCCTCCGCAGCCAGGTGGGATCCCTGGAATCCCACGGAATTTCTGTGGCAATGTGTGACAGCTCTGATCTGCTGCTGTCCCAGCCCAGCTGCAGGGCCTCATGTGGGCTGATGCCCTTCCACGCTGTCTTTGATTTCAGAGACTTTCTTCCTGACCCATCTTTCTCTGTGCAACATTTCCTGTTTCATTTTGCCTTTTTAGCTTCTGCTTATTTCTGTTTCTCAGCTGTTTCCCTCACAGCACAGAAATTCTTCTGAATCTTTTTGAAGCTTCCTTCACTTGCCAAGCATTTTGTGCAGTTTGGACTAGCAGGAAGAAAGCAAAGCTTTCTGCCTAAAAACCATCAAAGTTTTACTTTTAGAAATGGTTTATTTGCATCAGTCAGTGACAGTAACCTGGGGTTTGGCTGGGATGTGCTGAGTGCACAGCACCCTCTTGTGCCCTCGATTCTGGGCAGCCACAACTGCTCTGCTCCCCTCTGGTGAACTATTCACAAGTTTCACCATATTTCTACAGTCTGCCTGTCTCTCAGGTTCCTTTCCTCCTCTTCCTGTTAAAGAAAGCCCAATCAAAAATAGAAGACATAAATTAGGTGGGTTCTTATGGACTTCAAGCGACGCTGTGGTAAAACACACAATTGCACCAGTGAGAGTCTCAGGAATAAAGGGGTTTTTATAATCTGTGCTCCTTCAGTGCTGCCAAGCAAAGCCCCACAGCTTTCCCACCTCCTTTCATACTTCTAATACTACATTTCAGTTCATACAGGTTTGAAAAAGCACAGACTTCCCAGCTGGGAATTGATGCCCAACAAAAACCCCAAATCTTCTTCTTCCACAAAGCTGGGACCCCTCCTTGATGAGCTTTTGACTGTCAGCTGATTTATCTGTGATTCTGCCTTCCAGGCTCCCCTAAAGGGACAGAATGGTTTGGAAAGCTGTGCTTGTGCATCAGGGTAACAATTCCAGTTCCAGTTCTAACTGCAGAGGATTTTGTTTTGAATCCCTCTGTGGAGAACAAAGAAGGAAAACCAATGTCCCTGTCCACATCTCCCAGCAGCAGGAGCTGGATAACCACAACAGCAGGCAGGCTCTGGGCTAAAAACAGTGATATGGGTTTCCATTCTTTAATTTTTTATTCAGGATACTACCAGGAGAAACCTTGACAATAAAGGCAGTGACAAGGCACTGGATCCTCACTGTGCTTGCAGTACTGAAAGAAACTAAGAGAAAAAACATTTGTTCCTGACAGACTTTCCACCTTCCAGGGCTCCCCTTAAGGGGAGTGCTCAAAACCTTCCCAAATAATTGAAGTAAATTTTTTTTTAAATTTTTATTTTTAAAATTTTCTCAAGGTCTTTTAGTCTGCTTTGGTAAGGGAATTTCACAAAGGCATTCTGTGAAATGTCTTCTGTGGCTGTATTTATTAAAGTTATATGTGGTACAAGCTCTTCACAACAGGAGGTAAAACCAGGCTGGATCTTCTAAATCTTTGTTGAAAAGCAGAGAAAACAACCCCAAGTCTGTCATTAGTACTCCCTTCTCCCCTCCCTTCTGGATTGTTGCTGCCTGCACTCCATGGATTTGAATATGCAGAAAGCATGTTTGTGTCAGTGGGAATTCCAAGCATCAGCTGAGAGGCAGGAATAATGGAAATAATTATCACACCTTTCTCTGTTGCCCTTTACCAGAAAAATACTTTATAA